GGTTACGCCTAATGTGATTGGCCTGTGAAACTCCCCATGTAGAAATTGCCCTTATTGCAATAAGGTTATACATAGTTATTCAGAATTGTAAAGTTAAATCCAGTATGACCTATATTAAATAACTGTAGCTAAAGAAGTTATGTTCACATGTACAGGTAAGTATATAGAGCATTCTGTTCATTTTATGTTCATAGAGTTGTATAATAAAAAGATGACTGCTTAAATTCAGATCTTGTATAGTTGTCTAGATTTCTGCACAGAAATGTATGTTTGATGCTTTGAGTTGGAAAAGTTCTTCCCTATCATTTACATTTTTGGTGTTTTTATAAGTCTTACCTCTACCATGCGTTTTTTAAAAAACTTGTGTCCTGAGTCAAATGCACAATTTCACAACTGTAGCATGACCATTTTTAATTATTTAAAGATTGTTCATGAATTGAACCAAAAGTCGAGGAATTGGCTTTTGTTCTACACGAGACTGTTCCTGCTTATCTTTGGCTCTTATCCTCGTTATTGGACAGTGTTTAGTTGAAAAAAGAGACAAACTTGTTTACAGTGTTGGCACTTACAGTTTAGAAACTTTGTTTTGCCTTGGGCCAGCTCAGAGCTGTGGGGGAACAGAAACCAGGCGTAAGTGGTGTTCTGTCTGCAAATTCCAGTCCTTACTCCCATGGCCCATTAACAAATGTAGCACCAAAACGGAGAACCGGAATTATTTCATTTGAATATCATGGTGTAAAATATCACTTGTTTGCTGCCTTCAGAATACTACAAATTCCATTTTATGGAAATATATTAACATTGGGACTGTTTAATAGCACAAGATAATCTGAAGTGTTGACCAATTGTATAAGTTAATAATACCACCTCAGGAATTAGCTTGGCTTTTGGAACGTGTGCCCCCCAAAGAGTACATGCAATTCCACATAATATTTTACAGCTAAACATACATTGTTTATAATGATAAATTGTTGATTTATGCTTTTGTGGTTGTACAGTTTGTTCCCATGTAACCTGTTTGTGTTTAATATTTTACCAGATTTCTTGTATTTATTCCACATCATTATGCCTGTAATGTGCAGCTTTGCAATTAGGCACTTGCCTACAGAAAAGAAAAAAAAAAAAACAGCCCCACATTTTTTTCCTTCATAATTAATGATTATAAACTGTGTAAAACCACTAGTACTGGTACATTTTAATACTTGTTCTTTTGTACTGAATTAACCATAGAGGTTGGTTGTGCAATGTTATTTAATGTCGTAATTACTGTAATATCAGCATATGGGCCCCATCTGCACACTCTTGTGAAGAATAGAAAGTTCATTAAGAAATTGTCACTTTAAAAAATAAAAATTAAAAAAAAAGCTGTGGTAAACTCTGTAACCCTAAGTTAGAAGGCTGTAAGTGTAGTAAATGTGCCATTCTCTAATGGCTTCTTGACCGAGATGGACTTTACATACTGTACTGTGATGTAGCTTTCCTATGTAACAGTTATGTTCGGAAATGGACGTGTATTGTTGCCTTAGAAAAAGGGTGGTGTTTGGAAAGAAAGAATTGTAGCCCCTTTTCTTTTTTTTTTTTTTTTTATCTGATGTTCATGGAAACAAAATCTGATGCAAGTCATCTTGATTCACTGGTGCACTCTATTAAAACTTACTTGAACAGTTCTCATACTAAAATACTTGTTGTTTGCCCTTTATAAAAGTGCAATAATTACCACGGGTAGCAAAATAGTTTAAAGGTGTGCAGGCTTCATCTTCAACATCGTGTGAATTCAGGATTAGCATTGCAGCGGTTCAGTGATCCTGTACTGTCCAGAAACTGTCAGTGGTTTAGAAACTTCTTAGAAATAGATGTCCAAGAGATTTTCAGAAATTCACCAAAAATCAGCCTTGCGTGGGGGTTGTGTGTCTGCTCAATTTACCCATAAATGTCCATAAATGTTCAGTTATCCTTGAAAATACACAAATGGAACATAACCACAGTGCTAATGCAAGGTTGTGTATGAACTTAGTCATGAAACAAAACCCTTTGCCTTTTCAGAAGGTTCAGTGGAAAAAATATAGGTCATGCTGTGAGACAGTAGATTAAGTACTTAGGATAGCTTCCCGCTTTACAGGCGCTGTTTTTCCATGGCTAACTTTGCCCTAGATTGTCACTGCTTTTCACTTCTCCATATAACCAGAGATGTATTAATGTTCCAGTAAACACAGATTGTTTCCAGAGGAGAGAGCTTAAAAATTTTAGTTTAACTCTCCCATGGAACAAAGTGCCAATTTAATGTTTATATATAGGGGCAGTTTGCAAATGGCATTATTTCCAGTGACTGCCAGCAGTGGGAAATGCCCTGGTTCTCAAACCCTGCTGTCCTCCTCCCTTTTGCCTTGCTGCAATATGGGCTGTGAACCACCGAATGCTCTCCATTGCAAATACACCAGGTGCTTCAGCAAGGGCATAATCTGAGTGTGAAAGGCGTAGCTGCACCCAAATGCAGCATTTGGCTTTCCAAATCTCCTGCCCCTGGCAGGAATAACATGGGAAGATTCAAGAAAGAGAGTTTTTTTCAGAACTTTCTTGTTTTTATTGGCAAGTAGAGTGTACTTAGTATGAAAATCATTGAGATGGTGCATACTGAATCCCCAATGCCTGGTTTTTGGGTCTTTGAACAGCTGCCATGTTGTGGACCTGTTACATATAAGTTACTCCTTTGATAAGAGTGGGATAAGCTGCATTTTGGATCCAAGTGTTCTTGGCTTCCATGTGGGAGGGGATCAGTGTGGTGTTTCATCAGCACAGCTTCAACTTGAGAAATTTGGAAAAGTTTTAAATTCTGTGTCATGTTTCACAGGTCCAGGCAGGGAGGGATAGGGATGCCTCAAATCTTCAGAAGGTTTACATATTCAACTGTGATTTCATGGCAGCATTTCTGGGGGGTATTTGGGATGGGTGTAGGGTGAGCAGTTGGACTACTGCATAGTTTGGGTTGGGGTGGTTTTTTGAATTATTTCTTCAAGGTATACAGACACTTCCAAACTTAGTGCATCCCTTTTCACACAATCCAATTTAAAACATTAAAATGTATATAGGGCAATGAAAGGAGTATAAATGTTGACTCCTGCTCCACTGAGTGAACAGCACTGCTGGAGAAGCAAGTGGTGTCATTAATGCCATATAGTTACGATGATGCTAAAATTCCATGAGTTAAGAGGTGAGATTTTGATGCCAGGTATACACCCAAGGGTACCTTGGACCTATTCATCTCAGAACAGGCTGAGTCCCCTGCTGCCACATAAATGGAGACAGTAAATCTCAGCTGAGAAGTGTGTTCTCTGAGGTTTTGGTAGTTGAATTTGGAAAATGACGCACACTTGTGAATTACAAACCCAGTCTGGGGAAAGGCCTGTCCCTCTTGAGAAGACATATAATCTTTTGCTATTTTTGTTTCTCATTTAGGGGCAAGTATACATTCACTAAGGGATCTATAAATAGAAAACCTATACATAAACACTTTCCAAAGCCCCAGAAAAATATTTAATGCATTTTTTTTCTTTAAGATTTTTCAAGGTAGCTTTCGGTTCACAAGATGAAAGATCCCCATTTTGCAGCTTCTAAACAGATTATTGATATTTTATTTCTTGATGCTGCTACTTAATCAGCATCAAGCAATTACTTCAACTCTCAAACTAAGAAAGTAGCTCATGAAAATCTGCAGCAGTGCAAAATTTACCTCCTATACCTCACTGCTTCAGGCTCTGTACCGTGCATGGAGCTATGGTGCTACTATGTTTCACTGTCTCTTCAGCGTTCAGGACACACCTGCAGCTCCAGGATGAAAGCTCAGCATCTGGCCCCAGGAGGTAACTCAGAGACGGGCCTTGCAGGCGCTGCCACAGCCAGAGCCCAGAGGAAGGAGGAGCTCTGAGTGCCACGTGCGGTCTGTGGCAGGTGTTCGTTTGGGATGTACTCAGAGCACAAAACGTTGTCCCGAGTTTAGGTCTCCACCTCAACCTTCTGGAGACTCTGGTAACAGGAGCGGTGACGCCATTGATATGAAACAGGGAAAGGGATAGAGCACTTCTGTAGCGACAGACCCGAGACTTAGCTCATGCCTCCCACCCTTCAGTGGGACTGGCCCACTTGGCCATCACAGCTTTCTGGCTAGAGCTGAGAAGGTGGTGAACCACCAACCTTGGGGCAGATGACAAAGCTAGGTGCAGGAGTTACTTGCTGAGTGTTATGGGAGCATCTCGGGGAGACAGAGATTCAAGGCTTTGTTCCTTGGTAAGAAAAGTCCATGGTAAAGGATTAGTTTGTCCCTGTGTTGCATCTGTTTGTCCAAAGCGTTAGTATAAGTATCAAATATTGATAAATATACCAACTGTTTGGATAAATTACACTGCTCCTCCCTATACAATTTTGCTTTTCTTGATCTACCCCAGCTTAGGAACACCGCTCAGGAAGCACAGTTGTTGAACTGCAGCATGCCCAGCTGCAGAGGCACGCGGCTATGGGCCTCCCGCAGCACCTGGGAAGAAGCCGCTGAGAAACTCTGCCTTTCAGCAAAGGCTCAGGCACTTTCCTCTTGGCCAGGGGGAGCCCAATGCAGCCCTGGACGCAGGAGAGGCTGTTCACTCGAGGCTTTGGTAGGAACACTGATAGCAGAGGGATGATCAGGGAGCTTGGTTTTTTACTCTGACGGGAAAAGAGCGTGACCTCCGAAAGCGGTGCTGCCGTCGGCCAGTGCGGTGCGTGCGGTGCCAGAGAAGGAGCTTCCAAGGGCTTCTTCCAGCCGTTGCGGCGCGGAGACCGAAGCAGCCCGGGGGCGATGCAGGGACTACACCCCGCCGTCCCCTCTGAGCTGACGGGGTCGAATCCCGGGCTCCCCGCGGCAGGTCCCCACTTCTCCGGCAAGCTGAAAGACAAGTTCCCCGCACCAGAGCGGCGGCGGGGCCGTGGTCCGGACCGGGGGCACCGCCAGCCCTCGTCCCCCGCCCCGGGCCGGTGTCCGCACTGCCGGGGGGGGCCGGGGCGCCTCTTCCCGCAGCCGTCCCGCCCCGGGGAGGGGGCAGCGGCCGCCTCCGGCCACACCTGTGGCGCAGCGGCGGAGGAAGCGCCCGGAGGTTGGCGCAGACGGGTCGGCGCCCGGCGGCACCATGACCGTGGGTGCGCGGCTGGGCGCCAAGGTGAGGGGCAGGTTCTCCCGCCGCGGGCCCGGCGACGACCAGGTCTCCATCCTGCCCGGAGAGGAGGAGGAGGCGGCGGCGGCGGCGGCTCCTGGGGGCAGCGCGGGGGTCCCGCGGGCGGCGGCGCTGGAGGAGGAGGAGGAGGGCACCGGGTCCAGGAAGGTGCGCTTCGCCGTCCTGCCCGGCTCCTACGAGCCGCTGCGCCCGCCGCGGGCCCCCGCCAAGCGGCCCTACGGGAAGAGGCTGAAGAAGTACGGGAAGGTGAGGGCACAGCGCGCCCGGGGCGGCCGGAGCGGGGACCCTCGGCACAGGGGCCTCTGGCACAGGGAATCCCAGCACAGGGACCCTCAGCACAGGGACCCTCAGCACAGGGATCCTCGGCACAGGGATCCTCGGCACAGGGATCCCCGGCACAGGGATCCTCGGCGCGGGGGTCCGCGGAGGGGGCGAGCAGCGGGGTCTCGGCACCGACTGTTTCGAGGGGCTCTGGGAAGTGCCCCTTGTCCCTCGGGCATTTCAGTGCCAGCGCCCAGCTCCGAGGCGGGGTCAGCCCTCGGGCTTGCTCTGGACCTTCCCGGGAATGAGCCGGTGCTGCTGGGGAGGGCCGGACACCGACCCTCGCCCGGATCAAAGAGTACAAAATCTGCCTCTTCGGAGTGAAAATGACACTAAGCTGATCCATGTGACGAGTACTTTGCCTTGCTTGGTTCTGCGTTTCCCTCGGCGTCATTGTTTTAACACTATTCCTTAAAACTTCCAGTTAATTGGCCTGCATTTTTTTCCACTTCTACTGAAGTGACCGAAAGAAATGGTAAACATCCCTCCAGTACATTCCTTGAACGAGTTTACCTTCTAGGTGCCCCCTGAAAATCACTGCTGTGAGTTACAGAAAAAAGTGCAACATGTTCTTCATCTGTAACAGCTATTTTGGATCAAAACTGTTCTTTTGCTCTGTGTGGGAAGTCACCAGTCCTACAGTCTGGTGGTTTGATTTTCTTACCACCAGAAGATGAGTGTCTTTGGTTACAGAAGTGCTATGTGGAAGAATTCGATTATTTGTCTCTTGTTTATGTCACTTAAGTACATCTCGGGTATGTCTTGGATATTTGTAGCAAAAAATAGTTTCTGTGTTAGCAAGAAAAGCCTCTCCGTTGTCAGGAATTTTTTCTTACTGCAGAGATTGCAGATGTAAGTGTGAGCCATGACTTTCTACTGCATTCTTTTAAAAGTGGTGATTTTGGTAAAGCTATGCTTGCTATGTCTGACATGCAGAAAATGCCAGTCAGCTCGGCAAAATTACTTACTTTTGAAATTGAGTTTTGAAATTGATGTCAGCATAGTCAGGAGCTCCCTCTCAAATCGTACTGTTTCGTAAAGAGTTGAATAGAATATTTCATTCTTTCATGATGCATTTGATACTTTGAGTTTCCAGCTCTGTGATTTCCAGGTCACATGCAATAGGAAGCTGTCTCAAGCCAGCAGGCTCAATCTATACGGTGCAGTTTAGTGAGTGTGGTTACATCGCAGCAGGTCATAACTTTGCTTCTGGTTCTATTGCTGCATGTGCTGTTGGTATAGGGGCACTTATAACGATGTTCAGAGCACAGGCCAGTTCTTGGACACTGCGTATTCCCTTTGTGTTGATCAGACGACATTCCCACAGGGAAGGTTTACCAGTTTGGCCCTGGCATAAAGAACAACTCCTGAAAGTGCAGGTAAGGTCCAGGTAGGTAAAGCTGCACACAGGGCAGGAAGGAGGAAAGAAGTGTGACATAGTGAGACCAGGGCAGATGTTGAAGGGAAGGCCACGTGTCTCCTCCTCCGGCCTCAGGCTCTGCCCCCAGGATCAGTCTGCCTTTTTATTTTGGTATCTTAACTCCCTTCAAGTAAGTTTCCATAGGAATAAAACAAGCAAAATTCAGCTATATAGTAGTATCACAACAGCTGAAGGTTTTCATGTGACAGTACCACTGTAATCCAGATTTAACAAAACCAAGAAATATAATATTGACTGGATTTCACTGATTTTAGAGTATTTACTCTGTTTAGTGTTTTCCATGTTACAAGAGATGCTTTTGATCTAGTTCCACACAACCATGAAGAGTTACTAACAATTGATTATGATATTCCTCCCCAACTGACCACACTATTTATTCCCCAGCCATATGAGCAAAAACCATCAGAAGTTAAATCAAAATTAGATTAACATTTTCAATTAAATAGTCTGTAGCAAGTTATCTCTTATGCAGTACACAGATGAGTTCTTAAACATGTACAGACATGAAAGTGGATTGACACATTCTTATTTTAGCCAAAAAATCTTATTTTGACAAAAAGCCATAAAATTTCCACAAATGTATTCTCAGCGATTACTGTCTTCTTGTTCAGCTCCAGTTTTAACACTTTATGTGCTTTTAGAGTTACCAACACAGCCAGAACCTGTGTGTGTGGGAAACATGCACCTCTACAAACTAGGGTGAATTTGAACTAATTTTATTCTTGAATAGGAGCCCACGTGAAAGCCTGGCTTCCTGTGGAGGCTGCATCCGTTCAGTTTAACTATACCCTGTGGGTGTGTATTTCTATATAAAAATAGATGGTAAAATGTTTTTCCACGCTCAAGCCCTCATTAGCTGTGGGAGAAGTTCATCTTCTGGGACGGCGACACTGGTTGTCGGAACGATTTTATGCGAAGGTGTTTTCTACGGCCTCTCATTTTTTTTATCCCCTTTCCCCGCCTCTCTTCGCAGAACGTCGGCAAAGCTCTGCAGAAGGGATGTCGCTACTTGGTGGTCGGCTTGCAAGGATTAGCGGCGGCCTATTCCGCTCCCTTTGGGGTGGCAACACAGGTGGCAAACTTCGTCCGCTAGAGCAGCTCCACGCACCCCACAGAGGGGGATGTGAGGCCATTGCTGCTTTCTCAGGATTAAATTTGAGACCTGCATCAGAGAAACCTCTTGGACCAACAGTCCCAGCTCCACACCCCTGCACCAGCCCCTTTCCCAAGACTGAGTACTCTTCTCTGCGAAAACTTCCAGCGCTTTATAAAATCAGATCGGGTCAAGGAAATGCAAGAATGAGGGAAAATCTTTGATGATTGAGCGGAAGTTTGTTCTCGGGCATGAGTTTGTTTTCTAGAGCTTCGTGCTATGTGTGAAAGGAAGCCAAGGAAAGATGGAAAAGCAAGTAGATGAAGGAGAGAGAAATGAAAGAAAATAAAGGATGAGAGAGCAGCTGGGGAGGTGGAGATGAGTTTGGGTAGGGAGAGGAATTGTCGAAGCAGTGGAGGAAACAGATAACAAAGGATCAGGAAAAGATAGTATTTGGTTTTCTGAGGTATTTTTGTGGTTTGGTGGCGGTTTTTTTCCCTAAGAAGGTTAAGATTATGAGTGTACTTAAAAATATACTTGGATGTAAATGGACTGTGGCCTGAGACACAGATAGCTTTGTTGCATCGTGGTTGTTCATTTCAAACGCTGGACATAATGAGCCTTTAAATCTTAAGAATGATGTAAAAACCCAGAAAGAGAATGAAGTGTGTATGTCTTCTTATTTTGGGGCATTAAAGGTTCACTGTGATCAACATTTTAAGCTTTTCCTCTGCTACTATGAAATCTGCTGATTTTTTTTTACTGAGAACAGAGTTTGTATCTGACATACCTGCTTCTGGAAGCTGGGGCATAAAAAAAAATAGTTCTGTTGTGTTCACCAGGGAAAAAAGTGGATTGCCAGCTGCATCTGAAAAAAAAATAGATACAACGTTTGGTGTAAGGATGTACAACTGTTGTGTATAAGAATGGGACCAAATAACCTGCCAGCTCCATCTTCATTTCTGTATCTGGGTTGTAGCCAGAGGATGTCAACATCAAATGGCTCAGCTCTGTAATGCGGGTGGAGCAGCTTCCATGTTGCACATCCAGGGATGTAAATCTTGTATTGATTCCACCACAGGAACAAGGTGGTTTATGGGCCTTCAAAATTCTGTGGATTTTGTTAGTTTGTTTCTGTCAGTCTTTTGTGGTAGCAGTAAAAGACTTCCCTGATAGCACTTTCTGTGTATTATAAATCTTTCTAGTTTTGATAGTGTTTGTAATCAAGGAGTTGACTTCACTGGAAACTGCTTGCTTTGCCTTCTCTGAACGAAGGGGTTTGTATGTCTTAGCAAACCACACTGTATTTGTTTTAAATGTAGCAAATGAATCAAAGGTGGGGGGTTTTTTTATTCTCTTTTCTGACTGGTCTGTAAATAAAAGTAATGAAATCCATGTCGTGTTTTTACCTACACACACAAGTAAGTGCACAGAGGAGGAGTCTCTCAGCAGTGGCCCAGCCATTGAGGGGAAGCTGCAGTGTAAACTTCCCCACGTTGTTTTGCCCGTGGCCTCAGTGCCCTTCCAGAAGGACAGGGCTGTAGCCCAGACTGCATAGACATGCTCAGGAAAGGCAAGGTGTGGAGATGGGGCTGCTGAGGATCTCAGGTTACATGAGTTGGGGTAGGAATAGCCACAATGGGATTTCACTCATAGATGTTATGCCTCTAGTTGTTTGTCTTGAACTTCTTTGTGGGGACAGACCCATTCCTCTGATTTGCCCCACCAGCAGGCCAGAGGGTCGTCAATACCAGCTGTCTCTTCTGCAGTAATAACAGGGCCGTCCTACCACCCACGTGCCACACCAGCCTGAAGAGTGTGGGATTAACTTCAGATTTTGTTACACTCCTCTATCTTTTATAGTGCTTTTACAGCATGAATCATTAGACCTTTTTGTTTAAATTACTGAAGCCATGCAGGAGGGATTTGTGTCTCCATTTTTCTGTGTGAAGTGAGTGTCCATCTATTTCTCTGACTAGAAAGGCTGGTCACACATTGCAACATAAAGGGTCCAGCCCACTCAGTGCAGGGACTTTCCACTAAGGTAAACATGAACTTTAGCTCCTGAACTGCCAGCACACTGACTTTTGCCTGCTGACGTATGGTCTCTGCTCACCTGGTGCAACTTTAAGAGAATAGCCTGCTTGCTATCCATACAGGACCCAAATGACACGTACGTGGTGTTCCTGTGTGAGCCTGAGAAAAGCAAAGCCTGGTGCATGTTGGTGGGTCAGCTTCAGCTGAGTGGTGTTTCTAAAACAGACCAAAAACAAAGAAAGAGGAGGGAGAAAGAAAAAGTAAGCAAGTAACCTGTGCTGTTGCTATAAAACACCTGGTGATTCATTCTCCTTCTTCAAAATGAAATGATGGTTCTCACTGAGGCTACCAATTAGTGCTGCTTATCAGTTCTCTTTGAGCAGTGATTCACTCCTCAGCTGGTGGAGTGAATTTGTGAGGCCAAGCCTTGGCCTGAGGGTTTGCTACTCTCCTCAATAGCCCAGTTCACACAGCAGCACCCAGAAAATCTGAATCTGAAGCGTGAGGTTCATTTTTCAGAGAGGTAGATGGCAGAGTTCCTGTCAGTCACAGCAGCATCCCTGCTGGGCCAGATCTGGCTTAGCGCTGATGCAAACAGGTGGGACAGCACAGATCCCGCAGCGCTGTTGCTAAATGTTGTCTCAGTGGTACAGGAGATGAGGAAATATTCCCTGACTAACTCGGCATTGAGTGGCAGCTCAGCCCACTCAACCAACAAGAAATGGCAACCTCCATCTGAAATAGTGCTGTTGTGCTGGAAGTCTGTGAGCGACTCGGAGGAGGTTGGGCTCCCCAGGCAGCCCTGAGAGTGTGCCAAGCTGGGAGGGCAGTCCAGGATTGAATTGGCTTCTGCACAGGCATTTTGTGCTCTTAGCAAGGCTGTCTTTGGAGGAGCCACCCCAGCAGGCAGAGCTTTCAACCCAGAGGTTCACACAGGCTCTTTTATTAAAATAGGCCTGTCTGCAGCTTATCTCCTGGTGCCTTTGAGGAACAAAACGGACGCTTGACTTGCTCAGAAAGGTGAGATGTGGTGGATACTACGGTACAGTGCATAGAGGGGGAAGATTTGATTTGACATTTGAGCTAGATGAAATGTGTTCCTCCCTCAGGCACTTGTGTGGAGTTGCTTCACTTGGCAGGTTTTTGTCACCAGTGGTGTGCTGCTGTACTATCTGGTTCCCTTCAGATTTCTACGCAGCTTTCACTATGCTTTATAACAAATGGCAGGATAAATAAGTTTGGGAAGGTAAATACATGTAAGAGTGGCAAGAAGTAGATAGTCAAGCTAGGAATGAACTCCATAACCTGACAGCCTGGCAAGTCACTTTTCATCTAAATCCCTGACTATTCCTAATGACTGCTCAATGAGTCACAGAGCAGAATAAAGCATATTTTGGCTGTTTTTGCCAGAGTATTTGATTACTACTCTGGCTTACTGTAGGCTCTGAGGAAATGGCAAAGGACTCATAGCTATTGTCCTTTGTCCTGCAACATTAGCAGCAAGGAAACACTCTAGTACAGCTTGCTTTTGAAGTGCAGTGACTGAGGAGAGCTGTACCACACCATGGCACACCAGGTTCACTTCAGGGATGAACGACCTTTCTGACCTCTGGCTGTAAGACTGGGACAGGGGCAGGTTTTGTGTTGGGGTGCTGTAAAACCAGTTGTCTCTTTTTCTGTATCCTGAGTCCCTTGTTAATTGGACACTGGCCTCTTCTGAGACAAAATTGGTCCTAAAATGTGTATGAAGTTGCTGCAGTTAACTGTACAATGTGCTTTGGAAATCCTTATTTCTTCAAGGAGCAGTAGAGAGTCTGAAGAGCTTGGAGAAGAATGGAGACAATTAAATTAAAAAGAAGCAAAGGAATAAAATCCTTGCCTTCCTTCTTCTTGTAGGAAACAGCATGAGGCTGCCAGGCTTTTTCTGGGGTGAAGTCTAACCTGAGCTCAGAGAGGGTGATGCACCTTCCTGAATCCTGCATTGCATATGAGGACAGGGGCAGGGCTTTTGACTTGTTCAGCTGGAGGAGGGAAGACTTATGAAAGCCTAGACAGCAGCTTTTCAAGACCTAAGAAAGGGTTGCCAACAAGATAGATCCAGGCTCTTTACTGCGGTCTGCAGCCAGACAGCAAGAGGCCATGGTCATAAATTGAAACTGGGGAGTTTCCAGCCAGGGACAAGAGGACAGTAATATGATCAATAAGCATTGAAAGGAGAGGTTTCTTCAGGAGGCTGGGAAGTGTCTGTCCATGGAGGGTCTCAAGGCATGATGTTCAAAGTGGAAGACAACCCAGTGTGAATGCAGTGTTGACTCTGCTGTGAGCAGAGGCTGGAGGAGAAACCTCCCGGGATCCTTCCAGTCTGGATGAGGCTGTGACTGGAATCCTGCCATGGTGAGCAGAAAGCTTATAAATCTACCTACCGTACAGAAATGTGAAAGACTGATATCCTCACCCTTGCTAGGAGCACTGACGCTAAGAATAAAGGTTTGCTTCTGGTAACAAGGAGCGACTGGCGAAGGTGGCAGTGCAGGTTGTCCGAGGAGCTGTTTGGCTCCCACCAGTTTCCACTTCACTGCGCTGCGCCGGCTGTAAGGCAATTGTCCTTTACTGCCATCTCCTGGGAGAGAAACAGATTTCCAGCCTTGTCTGCCTGCCTCGTTGTTCTGCCTCATCTCCTGCAGGGATTTCCTGCCTTCCCCTAGGCTGGCCTCCCGGTTTGTCCAGATCCATCCTCAGGATGTTGGGTCCCAGAAGTGTAACGTGCGTCTCTGTATACCAGTGTTTCCTAGCCAGTGGAATCCTGATCCTCCTGTGTGCGAGTGTTTCAAATGTGTAGCCAAAGGAACATTGTTTTTGTGGGGGTTTTTTTGGTTGGTTGGTTGGTTTTTTTCCTGTAACATCTCAAAATGCATTACACTTTGCCCTGAAGTTCTTGCTGTGCCTTCAAAAAAAAAAAAATCATTAAGGATGCTTCACTGGAGGTGAGGGGATGAGCCACAGCCACTTCTTGTTTCTGAATCTCATCTTCTGCTGGAAAGATGACAGCTGCCTATGACGGGATGTGTGATTTTGAATGGAGGGCAGCAGACTGGAGTGCCACACTCCCCCCAGGAGTTGCCTTGGATTCCAGCTCCAGCAGGCCATGTATACTTGCCTCCTCATGCTTTCTGTTTCTGCTCATTCTTCTGTTTCTGCTCCCATAAAAAAATCCTTGCTCCTTCCTTTCTCTGGACACTAAACTAGCATCAGATTGTTTTTTCAGCTGTGCCTGAATTAGGGAGGAGACTTTCCTGTCCTTGGTGAATCCCATCCGTCCCTGTGATGGCTGCTAAACCCCAGCTGCAGAAGTATGTTAGTCCTTGTGCTGCAGAACAAATGCCCTGCTCCCCAGTAAAGCCTCTCCTCCTGGTCCTTGCCTGCTCTCCCAGATGACATGCAGCTCTACCCTGACTATTCGGACCCCTAAAGCTGCCCGATAGATACTTTATTCCTGGACAATAGCATTTACAGAACATGGGGAGAAATCCAAATGTCATTAGCCTGTGCTAGTTAATACTGGGCCAAACATTTGCCTGGAACAACCACTTCTGTATTGTCCTGGTGCATTCGGGCAGACTGAAGTTTAGCTTTTGACTGGAAGAAAAAGATGAATGTTCAATTCATTTTCCTATTGGCTGGACAGTGACCAAAGTAGCCTATCAACCTGTATGGGTTTTAGGTATATATGATTCTCTGTATAGGAAAAACCTCACCATAAAAAAAGATCCTTTTATCTCACTGCTCTGTCTCCATTAAATGGCATTTATCATTAATGATTCTATTTATAACTCTATCATCGCTAATCACTCGACTGAGGTTTTTTCCATACAAGAATTTCACTGAGCTCATTTCTAGTGCATGACTCACTGAACTCTGATTTCCTTCAAGATTTTAAGAGGAAACAGCAATGCTTTTATCCTCCTCTTGTCTTTGTGAAGGAATCTTTTGAATTTACTGGGTTTTATAACTTTGGAAAAAGGATATAATTTGTCTGTGTGTGGGTGTAATCTGACTTTTATCATATCTTGTTGAAATCATCCTATGATCGCATACTTGGCATGTCATCCCCTCAACCCTGCCTTTTGCTGAGTTATCAGGGAGTCACTGAAAAAATAACTGCCATATCCATGGCACAGGCATTTAATTCCTTCACCGAGACAAGTCCAGCCTACATTTAGCTCCATCCTAACATTCTGTCACCTAATTGAGGCCAGCATTTTGCTTTTTTTGTCACTGTGGATTTTTCCATAATGTCC